TGCTGGTCCCGCGCGCCCGCACCCAGGGGCAGGGAGCGACGCGTTTCCTGCTCGGAAAGGCCCGCGCAGGGCCGGCTATAGCAGTCCCGCAGCTGCCTGCTTGGATTTTAGCACAGTGGCTCCCGCGGAGCAAACAACCTGTCTGAGCCCTGAAGGATTTAACATTTGAAAGTACTTCCGTCAGGGGAACTTTTGCTTCAAAAAGCAAGCTGTACAAGAAGGGCAACCCTTGCCCCGTCGTTGTTTAACCCTCTCCATTAAAAGTTTTTGTGGACTGATAAAAGCTCACCCTTCCTTTGACTAGAGAGAAACTACAAATTCGGTGGAAGCTGAGGAGCGGGATCCACGACATAACTGAGCAGCATTTCAAAGTCACATTATTTCTAAGATGTCATTTAGGCATTTATTCTCTTTAGCAGTTCACGGTTTCATTCATTCAGCACTTGCAGGCCAGTGTGCTTGGATTTCTGGTTAATGCAAATCATTTTTTTAAAAAAAACTAAGGATTACACTACAGTACATAAAATTTAGTTGCAATAGACAAATATTTTTTTTTAACTTAACCCCAAGAAAATTGTTCAAAAGTATAGAAGACAACTACTTAAAATTGCAAAGTAAATTACTCATTACATAAAGTTTGGTACATAAATGCTGTTACATAAAAGTTTAGCTCAATTTGGTTATTTTTGTTGTTTAGGGTTTTTTTAAATTCAATTTGTAGGAAGAGTGATTTCCATCAATAGCTCTTGCTCCTGGCCTCAGTAGAGTACACAGATAAACTTTTCAGCTTTCCAAATAAGTAACTGATTTGCTGCCCTAGGCCTAGCTGAGTTCTCCTAGGTTTGTGACTAATGCTTACAGAAGTAAAACTGTACTTACGTAGAAAAATGAAAGTACAAAAAAGTGGGCAATATGTAAGAACAGTATCCGCAGAGGAGATGAAACTCATGAATATAATCTGTAATACTTCATGCTCCATTTGCTTCTTAGTAGTAAAGGATCAAGGATTCTAATTAATTTTAATAGCAAGCCATCATTTTCTAAAATGACTTAAAGGGACTTTTAAAAATCTAAAGGAAACCACTGATTCGATTATAAAATGTGCTCTAAATCATACTACAAAATCCAGCTGAAAGATTTGTTACAAAATACAAAAAAAAAAAATTTTTTTTTTAAATACCTTAGCATGAGGGTAAGATGGGAAAGCGGGAGAGGCTGCCACCCCCTGGTGCCCAGTACAATGGCATGCTGTAATTCCCACATCTCTGGGCTGCATCTAGCTGAGACAGCTTGTCAAGTCTGAGGTTTCCAACCTGCTCGTCACCATGGCGATGGTTAGTCACAGCCTGATGGGCTGTCACGGGCATTCTGGGCATCCGACAGGTAACTCAATGCACCCTCTCCTCCACGCACATGATGTGGAAGAGTGAAAAGACATTATAGGAATAACCCTGAAACCTGCTCTACACCTATAGAATATGTGCAGCCTTCGCAAAGATAAACGCCATTACAGGTTACCTAGAAGACTCCTCACAGGTGACTCGTCGGTCGTAGGTGAGGGCTGCCATGAACATCCTCTACCAGAGGCTGCTGCAAGTGCTACTGTTATTTCCACTCAGAAACCTCGAGGTCACTGTTAAACTGCTAAATGTCGACACAGGCTGTTTCATTCAGGCTTACACTGATAAAACAGCAAGAAAAAAATAAAATATAAGGCATCTCAGAAGAGTAGGAAAAGCACACAGCAAAGGAAGATGGCAAAGACAGGAGCCCATGCAAGTTCACAACTGAGACGTGGCTGGGCTGCTCCGGGTTGGCATAGCGCGTCTCCAAAACCAGAAGCACCTAGGAAAACTGCTGGCCAACACAGGAGGCTGCACTGGGGAGGTCAGGGCATTCCTCGGGACACATGGAGATTTTAAAAGTATTTATTTACTTAATAGCTACTGTTAATCCTGTCTTGTAAAACAAGCATATTTGAAGATGGAAACGATGTATTTAGTACTCCCACCTACCAGGCTAGTAAGAGTCGTCTATGGAATATTCAAAATTAACCTCCTTTTAGGTTAAGAGCTCCAAAGATTCCATTCGGCTATTTTGACACAGTACAGAATCAGTAAGAGGTTTATTCCCATAAGGTACTCCACCCAATGAGAGCACACTGTGCAAGTATTTATTTTATTACTCCTATCTGAAGACTTATTTTTGGAGAACAGCAAGGCATTTCATTATCCACTGTTTCCATTCCTGAAAGGCTTCCACAGGCTTTGGCAAATTCACATTGTTCTCACGACTATGCTTTGGAGTTGCTCTTGTTGTGTCAGTGGATTCATCATCAATCCACCTCACCAGTGCCTGGAAAAGCAGAAAAGAAGCATTTTTAAAACTTTGTTCAAGATGCGTATTTTGGCTGGATGTGGGTGCACACGGTAATCTCAGCACTTGGGAAGCTAAATCAGGACGAATGTTGTGAGTTCCACGCCAGCCTGAAGCACAGTGAGTAGAAGGCCATCCTAGACTACACAGCGAGACCCTGTCTCCAAAAAAAAAAAAAAAAAGTTATAGCCAAGAGAAGAACATGGTATCTAAACCTGTGATTTCTATCACCCTCTGATGCTGCTGCATTTGGTAACAATGGCTATGAAGACAAAACATACTTATATACTGGTGAAATAGCATACACCAAAAATAGACAAAATATAATTCCAAGTTATGGTCAACAGTATGCATAGGGGAAAAGAGATGAAAAAGAAGTATACTATTTCTCTCACTGCTTATTTTAAAGGATAATAGTAACTTTCTTTTCTGCAACTTGCTAATTATTCCACAAAGCATTTGGCTGTGCCTTTAATTCAGGGTGCGTGTGCATATGAATGGCAGGGGACAGACGCTTGGGCAGACACACGTATGTGATGACATAGATGCAGACACTGACGTGTAGTCCCCTGGGTGTACGGTCACACCCATGAGTAACCACACGAATGTATATGATCTGCTGGGGACCTGTCGGGCATATGGGGGCACACACACTCCTGCACACTGAGATCGGGTACTTTCCCTTTCCTCCTTAAAGAAAAACATACCTCCCTCCATTAGAAACCACATCCACGCATTTACATGGCTTTGAAAAATGGCTTTGTCACACAAATCAAAATGTATTTGGTATACAAACTCAAGCTCTCTAAATGGATACAAAAAAAAATCTTTCACCATTTCTCACTGAACTACAAGATGGTCACAGTCATGCTGAACTTTTAAGGTTATTTCTTTGCATTTTGTTTTTCTAACCACAGCTTCCTGCCTATCTTTACACTAATTTCCTCTGATAAATTATAGCTGTAGAGAAGGACCTAACAGAAAATGTCAGTTTGCTACTTAGACAACCACTTCCCACTACTTTGACCTCCCCAACACACTTACCTTGTATCTTTCTACAATACTGAAGCCAATAGAACACTGTAACTTGCGTAAGCAGATAGGGCAAAGGTTTAGAGGGCGCCTGTCAGCTTCTTCCAAGTGGTTGGAGCCTTGCATTAGGCATGCAAGCCATTGGCAGTGTCGCAGTCCAAATATATGTCCAATCTCGTGGGTTAAAGTCTGTAAGACATTCACGTTGCAGCTTTGTAAAAGCATCGTCAACAAGTGACACGACATGTCTTATTTTCCCAAGAAATGTTTACGAGCACCGGCTCCCTCACCATCATCTCCCAAACTTCCTTCTGCCTAGATCTTCTGAGATGTAGCAATCCCTCATTTCTCTGAATGTTCTAATACTATCCTTACTATCTTTAATTACTTCCCCTGGACCAGTTTCTCATCCTCAATACCACTAACATGTTGGTTAATTCTGCATTGTGGAGAACTGTCCTGGACATTGTAGCTTGCTCTATCCACTAAATGACAGTAGAACCCCTCTCCAATTGTGACGATCAAGTGTGTCCAGATACTGCCAAATGTTCCCCAGTAGCAAAATCCCCCTCTGGTTGAAAAACCCTCTAGCCCACTAAGGCAGCTGTTATAGTTCAGATCTAGGGCCCTTTCCCCAGAGATGCTGATTCCATAGGACTGGGAAGAGGAGCCTTGATCTGCATGCCGATGAGCACACCAGGTGATGCTGATACACATGTTGCTTGGAACATACTCTGAAAACATAGTTCTAAGAGATTTACTTCTCAAACACCAGTGAATAGTCCTGGGGAAAGCAGAACTTCTCTAGCCAAAAGAAAACTGTCTCCGGCTAGGAAGGAAGCAAGGTGAAAATGGGGAGATGGACTTCCAAAGAGCAGGGGTGGGGATATGTCAGCACTGTCACAGAATTACAGCTCAGGATGGCTGGTGTCCAAAGAAGAAAGCCCTTTGTCCGTGAGACACCAGAGAGCAGAGGCCCCTCCAAAGTCCTCAGGAAGGCAGCTGTACTTATGACCATGGCAGCCTGAATGGTGACATGACTTTCTTATACCAGAATGCAGGAATTCAACTAATAGGGCAAAGGCATAGTAAAAAGCTGCGCGTACTAGAACCAAAAACACCAATATTATAAATTTCAATAATAAGATATCCAATTAAATTTTTATTAGTTACTTCTCTCAAGCAATATTCACCAAAAGTATACAAATGACACAAACTCACTTATAATATTACCTTAAGGACTGATGAAATATGATAAGGGAATTAAGATTTCTTCTTTAAAAAATGCTCCAACAGGATTTTTTTACTCACCTTACAGGATCGCAGCAGTAAAACACTGGTGATTTCAGGAATATAATAGTTATCAAAACTGGAATAGTCACTGGAAGATTTTTTGTGGAGCTTCTTCACTTTGCCTTCATAGCGTGAGGTATAGAAGTCCCTGCCATACCTGGCAAAACTGAATATCCCCACACCTACAAAAAAAGGACCCACAACCACAAAGTGAGGGCAAGATGCCTTAAGGGAAGACCACAAGAGAGCCTCCTAGAACATCTGTGTATCTGTATTACTATGTTCACACAATCTAACACACTTCAGGTTTGCAAATATAAAGGAAGAGTTTTGACCCCAATTTTCCAGTCAAAATCTTTACATGCCTTCACAGTGTGCCTATAAATATGCATGGCCCATAAAATTCCACTGATCTAAGATCAAATTCTAGGGAAACTGGATGTTTCTGAGCATTTTTTCTCTCAAAGAATAATCTAAATTGAGTACTCCTCAAAGGAACTATGAAAAATGATCACATGAACAGTCATGATTTACTCTTTTTGGACACAACAAACAGATCCACATTAGTACGGGTTGCTGGTCTTCCTCCCTACCCTGCCCGCTCAGATATCTGGGAACCCTAGTTTGGACCATGGCTTTAGACAGAATAACCTCTTCTCCTCCCGCATCCCACCGCACTCACTTTTTATAGCACAGCACAACTCTATTATGGTGTCAAATGACCAGAATAAAGGCCCCTGTAACTGACTTCCTGTGTTACATTTAGAGTGGTTATCTTTGCATGCAAAGAGTTCGATATGTAGCTCATTCTATAGGGCACTGCTTTATAACTTGACTTGTTTCATTGTCACTTTTATTTATGCTTCTCTCTGTTGTTAATGTACTAATGGTTTTTTCCCCAGTATGGGGGCCCAAACCTACGGCTTCATGCATGCTAGGCAAGTACTCTATAAACAAACTACACCTCAACCCTGAAATGTTTTTTTGTTTGTTTTTATTAGGAAAGAAATCCATAGTAAGTTTGTCCAAACTAACTCTATTAAAAAAGAAAGTTCCAGGGCCAGAGATTTAGCTCAGTGGTGCCACAGTCTACCTCACAAGCACAAGGGCCTGAGTTTGATCCCCGGTACCAAAAGAAAAAAAAAGAAAGTTCCTCACCTCATAGTCAGAAAGTATACACTGAGGTTTGAGATTTAGGATAAGATGACATTCTGGAAGTTAAGTAAAAAATGAGTCTAATCATGTACCACAAGTGACTGTGGCCAAACAAATGTGAGCTTACTTCGTATTATAATACCTTTAGCAAGAATATCTCTATTTCCTACAAACAGAAGATTACTTTCTTTAGTAATAAATGATTCTCGATTTGAAAATCCCAATCTTTAAGCTTGGAGAAAATAAGATCACTTGTGGTATGATACTGTCCTGCAGTACCGCAGATCAGTCTTGCTACCTTACCTGTTGCCTTAGCACAATGCACTATTTAACTTACCCAAAAAAGGGGCTAAAATAAAAAACTTGGCAGGATGTTTTCTGAGCTCCTCAAATGCATAAGATAATTAGCTAGTAATACCTGGAACAAATTGTTTTAAAGTTCTTTTTAATGTTTCCATCTCTAATGGGTCAACAATAAAGGGTGAATTTCTGATAAAAAGCGGTTCACCTTTCAAAAATCAGCAAGGCAGTTAGTGACCCAAGTCACTAAGGGCATAGGGTGGTACGGTTACGGCTTGAGAACCTCACAGTATGAATGTAATGGAGAATTGAGGATAAAGGAGCAACACCCACCTCTAGTAGAAAAAAACATTTGTCAGAGAAAGCCCTCCTCCCTCCACTAATCCCTGAGCCTAAAGTACCATGCACCAAACAATGAACACTCAGCACAGTCCCTAGGACTCACTCTCCATCCCTAGACTATTAAATAACCACTGCCTTCAGTCACTAGTCTTTTTCCCTTTCAGCCTGTCTTAGATCCAGGGGGATTATATGAAAGAAAGAAGTCCAAAAATGAAAACATGGGAAGTACAGAAGCAGAGACATGACAAAAAGGAAAAAAAAAAAAAAAAAAGGAAAAACACGACTTGCTTCCAGATCTTTTCCCACCCTCAACATGAACATGAACAGTTCCTAAGGAGTTCAAGTTTCTTATATCTCAAAAATTGAACTCGATTTTTTTAGGGAAAAAAAATGTCATAACAGAGGATGAGAAAGAAGCTTACTTATTTATCAGTCTATGCTATTCCATCTATGCAAAATTACTTGGAGAGGGCTGGGGATTTAGCTCAGTGGGTATGCCACCTGCCTCGCAAGCACAAGGACCTGAGTTCGATCCCTGGTACTCCCACAAAAAAAATTACTTGGACAAATCAGATGAAAAACAATCAGCAAGATTTCACATGTTGATGGTAATACCATACTTCAAATATCCTCAATATGTTTAATTCACCTTCCTCCTGAATTACATTTACCAGCTGTTGCACTGAATGCCTATAATGTGCCAGGCATTTTATATACTATTTTAGGCATTGCTATGTAAATTACCTCCAAAGGACACTCTTAGTACCTCAAGATCACCTAAGTAGTAAGTGACCTACTGAGGGGGAACCCAGACCATTAAGAGTCTACCAATAAACAGCACATTTCCTAACAGTATGAATGACACCTCACGGAAAACACTATTCAGTTTTAAAATATCAAAACTATTTAGTGGTTGAAATTCTTTTCAATTCAACACCTCCAAATATTAACTTGAGGAAGTTTAAACCAATAATGTCAAAAAGAAATACCATCTGTCAGAGAAGCCTGTCCAAAGACGAAATTCCACGAGTCTCTTGGGTAAAGATCAATCATAGTTATCCCCACAATACAGAAGGCATCTTCAGGTTTCTTCTTTCCTAAGAAATTCAGGATATGCCCTATTTAAAAAGAAAAATAGGTCTGGGAATGTAGCTCAGAGAAAGAAAGAGAGAGAGAAAGAAAGGAAGGTGTATATGCACATATAATATGTATTTCCTTTACTTTATTCAAATGATGAAGTTGCTTAACTCACCTGCATGAATTTGTAGATTTTGTGTATGATCATTGACTCTAAAGGAACACCTGGTTGCAGAAACAGAAACTGGTTCTAGCAGTTTTACCGTCAGGCCATAAAAAAATGCTTCACAGTAACCCTTGAGCCATTTAATATATTCTTCACTGATAACTCTAGTGTTTCCTAGAGCTCCTACAATAGGGGAGGAAATGTAAGGACAGACTTTAAGACCATTAAAACATTCAGTCTTAGCCTGGCATGATGGTGCACGCCTGTATTCCCAGTACTATGGAGGCTGAGTCAGGACAACCTGGAGGGCCAAGCCTGACTAGGCTACACAGTGAGTTCAAGGCTGGCCTGGAGCACACAGTGAGACTCTGTCTCAAAAAACAAATTAAAAAATCAGTCTTTAGCTCAGTCTACACATTAAAAAGTTAGAATTGGAAACAAAAGGCAACTCTGAATTTTCAGTACACCAATACACCTTAATCAGTCATTGATGGCAACGTGAATTAAAAAGAAATAAAGCGCTTGCTTTTAAGTCAGTTTGGCTACAACACTTCTACAACTGCAATGAATGAAAAATAATGATAAAATATGGTAGACCGCTTGCCTGGCAAACACAAGGGCCTGGGCTTGATCCCCAGCACTAATAAGAAGGAAAAGATCATAAAAACTGCCCACTTGACGCACATAGCCCAAGCCATCCCTAACAGCACCAGTGCAAACCAAACCCAAACCGTCCAATTACAAATAAATACCAATGGACTGTATATAAATACTGCGTTTCTCTGGACAGGGTGTCTTTCGGTAGGGATCACTGAAAAACTCCTCAAAGTCCTGGGGAGCCTCAGGGTGGGAGGTGATCCAATCTGACTGGGAATGTAAGGTAATGGGTCCAAAGAGATCACTGGCTGGCTGGAAGGCTTCATTCATTAAACGTCGCTCTCCAGCATCTAATTTCTCATACTGTGTTACAAGCTTTGGGTTCTTTGAGATGAGAGCTGTTTTGATTGTCTGTTCAGAGTGCCGTACTATTTGCATCTGCAAAAGCAAAAAAAAAAAAGAGTAGTCAGGAAACCCTTAAATTATATTCCCCAGAATTCTGTCACTCATTTCTCCTTCTCTTACCTCCTTTTGTATTGGCAAAATTACTGGGTGAGACATTTCCGTGTAAAAAAAAAAAAAAAAAAAAAAAAGAGTAGTCAGGTAACCCTTAAATTATATTCCCCAGAATTCTGTCACTCATTTCTCCTTCTCTTACCTCCTTTCTTTTGTATTGGCAAAATTACTGGGTGAGACATTTCCGTATGGTCTCTAGAAGGATCAGGGTTATATCTTACCAGTTTAACAAATGTGGGAGGACAATGGGGGAGAAGTGCTATTTCATATTTCGGGAAAATCCAGGTTTGGTTTTAACTGGATAGGCAGGGTCATATGATCTTCCTCGAGCCAATACTTATGGGTAGACACAAATGAGACATTATGAGCTGGGCGAGAGTCATTTTCCCATGCCTGGATCTGGGGGAACATGTGAGGTCCCTCACACTGAAATTGAGAGTTTGGAAGGAGTGGTTCCCAAAGGAAAACAGAGGCAGTACTAGCAGGAGAAAAGGGAGTGGATACTGACATCAGCAATGACAAATGTGCAGTAAGGTTATACAGCATAAAATTCAAAGAATCATAATACTGCTACAGTGTGCAGAGAAACTGGGACTTTCCAAAACAACTGCCTGGAATGAATTTTGACAAAACCTTCCTAGAAAGCAATGTAATGAAATATATCCAAAGCCCTACAATCTTAGATACTCTTTAGCCAAGGTATGCCATTTTCAGGAATGTATCTTAAATAAAAAAGCAGGTATTTACAGAAAAAAAAAGACTAGTCAGATATAAAACACATAGCCATACTGGGACTGTTTCTATACTCCACATACATATACCTCTAATTTCTCCCTAGATTTGCAACGACTGATCGTTAAGGTCCTGGAGTGGTCACACTTAAGAGTGGCTTGCCCACTTCCAATCAACTTCTTGGGGAAAGTATCTAAGAAATTGAAAAGAAAAGCATTAAGTCCATTCTTCCATCTCACAGGGAATCTGTTCCCATTATAAAAGCTAGTGGTGTGGCTCTAAGACTACACATGACTTGATTTCCTACTTTCATTTGGGTAATAATCACAATACAAGTTGACTCATTAGGGCCACATGAGAAATGCTCATGTTTTCCAACGCGACTCAAAGATATTCGGTGTTCAACAAAAAGAGAACTAATGTAAGAACCCATTTCTGTAATTTAACTCCAGGCTCACGAGATGTATCTTAAGCACTGAAGTTCACCTGTCATCTCACTGGGGAAGACACCACATGACTAATCAAAGTCAAGACTCACAATGACGGGTCTCGTTCATTCACGGCATGTTCCTGGGTAGAGCTTTTATCCTTCCATTGAATGGGTCAAACAGATGTTCCACCACAAGGCTTGTGGGGTTAGAAAAGGAAAAAAACGGAACATCTCTGGATCCTATCATATTTTCCAATTATCTAGATCTTTTTCAGTTTAATGATAGACTGAAGGGAAAATTTAAGCTGATGTCTGTTTTCATTAAATTTTCTAAATTCTGGGGTTCAATAGGTGGCAGAAAATTCCCCATCAAAGGCTTCTAGATCCCAAACTCTTGAGCAGAGGATCATCATCCCTATCACACACTTGAGCTGAAATGTGATTTCTACAGGATAAAACATAAAGCAAGATGTGCCTTCCTGTATTCTACTTACCTCTACAGGAAGAAGGCTCCCACTGAAGTTTTTACCTTACAAGGGCAGGCATGTCAGGAAAAGAATTGTGGAGGGTGCCTTCATACTAATGCAAAAAAGGCAGGTGAAAGGTCAGGAGGCCTTCTCCAGTCTCCTAGGTCTACCCTGTGTGGAGACGCCAAAAGAGGGCCACCGGACCGGGGAGGCAGCACAGATGCGGTCACTGCAGTAGGTTGAGAGCCAGGGATGCTTTCTTCCTAACAATGTAACTTCCCGGGTCAATCACAGCCGGTGGCCCACAGCACCACGCACTTCAGGCTCGGCCGGGTACAGACGCGACCCGGTCCCCGCCCCGGTGTGGCGTGGAGCCTCCCCGGGGACTCTCGGTTCGCTTTTTCTCCCCGGGATGCCTCTTATGGACACCCCCTCCCCCGGCTCCCCGG